GTGGAAGCAGTTCTGTCCCAGCGCAACAAAATGACAAAGCAACCAAAAAATTACCTAACTTTAAAGGGTTAGGAAGAAACATGAGCTGCAGCATGCCTTAACTATGCATCCAAGAAGTGCAATAACAGCCAGGAACTTCTTCGTTCCTCCTTCTCCTCCTTGTTGTTCCGCACCCCTATCTCCATCTCCCTCTTTCTCCTCCTACCACTTGCTTTTACTCTCCAGCGTATCAAGTGTGAAACTCAGCCAAGAACAAGGAATTAAAACTGAAAATTCTTGACTGGAAGACATTTTTTTAAAATTATATTACAAATGATGAAAATCTGAGGTTGGAATTTGACCGTTCGTTGCCGGTTGGTCACGGATTGACCGCTCGAAATCAAATTTTACGTCCTCATGCAATCTGCTCTAGGAATTATAAAGGATGATTTTGCGACTTAAAGCAGTACTGGCTTAGTGGTAGCGCAAAGTGGAATATCCCGCAATTAGCAAATAAGCCATGTTGACGAAGTAAAAAACACTTCTGTATGTTTTGCCGCATTTATCAACCTCGTATTGATACTCAACCCCGCCAAACCTCGCTGGAGCATGATGATGTTTTGTTACGCCTCAGAAACATGGAACTCCTCTTACTTGACGATCTCTTACATCTTCAGCATCTGTTTTTTTTTGTCTTTGTGTAAAAGTAAAGCTTTTAAAGAACTATTTTTGTGATGTCCTCAAACTAAGAAGTAAATCAGAATCCTTTACGCATAAAAAGCACGCCTTTAAGGTAAGATTTCCCTAGGAAAGCGGAACGTTTGAAAATAGGATGAAGGATTAAACATGATGATACTCGAACTAGCGATTAATTCACAGTATGGTTCTCCAGTTATGCACCTGGCAACTTTTCCACGTGCTGTGGACCAGTGCTGGTTCGCTTGGTGGTTAACCTGCTGGCAATAATGCCGTTCGTTTCGTGTTTGGAAAACGAAAATGAGGCACTGAACAAAAGAGGCTAGCAATCCCTCTACACGAAAATAAAACATATCCAACTTAGTGAAAAAAAAAACGATTTCCCAACAAAATTTACTGTTTAAGCAAATTCAAAAAAAAATTGTCACAGAAAAAGATGGCTTTTCTATAGAAAAGTTAGTGTGCCAACCATGAAAAATATGGTTTCACTAGAGCTAGCAAGATGCCTGACTGGTAGGCTTTAG